CACACACACACACACACACACACGCACGCACGCACGCACGCACGCACACATATACATATATATGCTGCAGTCCTCACTGTTGTAATTAGAATTGCCATGTTTGACAGTTTTAGTGGTCATCCTATAATACCAATAATTTTTATTCTAGCCAATCCCATAACACCATGAAAGCAATCACATTAGTGTAGTTGTAACTATGCAAAAATATTATTCGAGTTCATCCTCAAAGTATAATACCATGAAAAACCAGCTAAAAGTGCAAAATTATAAACGAGATGACACAGTCCGAAAATCGAGAACAACATCGTTACGCCGACCGAAATTAACTTCTATGGGAGGTAAAATCGAGGTTATTAATTGATGACTTTGCTTCATTTTTTCGGTTGCCACGGTGTATTGTACATCGTTCTTTTCCCTGGAATGAAAAATGTGTCGTATTTAGTGTTAAATAAGGTATAGATATTCTTATGTGGCGAAGTATTTGATTTTAGCATCCACAGGACCGTCCACGGAAACATTGGGTCCTGTTATACTTTATTGTATTGTGTGAGGTAACAGTTTATAAAATCATCTTAGCGTTTATAAAAATTTCAAAAGCAGTTTTAAAATCTATAAAAATTTTGTTTGTTAAGAAAGGTGTTTATTAACGATACCAAGGACGAACAAGTCGTGCGTCTGGTGGAAAGCGATACACTTGTCCAGAACAGTTGCAGTGGTCAGATCTTTGTCATTTGAAACTCTTAGTTTCAAATGTTTTAAAACATAGGAAATGAAACTATTTTTTATTGGCTAAGTCGTTGTGACTGTGGGACTCAAAAGGTGTTGTGAAGAGCCCAAAAGGACTTTATTAACGATACCAAGGACGAACAAGTCGTGAGTCTGGTGGAAAGCGATACACTTGTCCAGAACAGTTGCAGTGGTCAGATCTGACAACAAACAAACACAAAGATCTGAGGGTCGCCTTGAAACATAAGTTGACAAGTCCCAGGTGCTTGTAATTGACCAAAATGGTTGTGACATTTAATTAAAATTACTATATAATGTTAATAAATTGAGTAAATTAAAGGATGATGGGCAAATTTCTATGAAACTTGGCCGTACGACCCACAGTGACATAACTAGGGCTAGTATTAAAGTCTCGATATTGTGACTATATTTTTAATAATCATCATCTCAGCCCGTTAACACGCACTGCTGGGTATAGGCCTCCTCTTTTGCACGCATCTACAATCTTCTGGCCACCCAACGATATCGTCCGACCGTCTAGCAGATAGTCTTCCTGGAGGACGTCTCGCTCCTACCGGGTAACGCCTTCGGTATCAGTGACCGCATTGTACATCGGTCGTCGTCCAGCCTAACAACGTGTCCTGCCCATCTCCATTTTAGGCTCGCGATCCACACTCGTTCGCTGTCGTACCTCCACGTTGGGTATACGGTCGACGAGGGAAATGCCGATCATGGTGCGCTCCATTGCCCTTTGTGCTACTCTGATTTTGTGCATGTATTCCTTTGTAAGCGACCATGTCTCGGCACCGTAAGTAAGTATGGGCAGGACGCATAGGTTATAAACTTTAGTTTTCAGGCATTGAGGGATTTTAGATTTAAAGACGTCCTCTAGTTTTCTAAAGGTGGCCCATCCCAACTGAATCCTTCTTGCAATGTTCTTGTCTTGGGAAGCTCAGCCAAAAGATAAACAGTGTCCAAGAAAATGTGCTCGTCATCTACATCTAGCTGGGTGTTCCCAACGAACACGGTGGGTTTTGAGCCCGGACCGTTGGATATGATCTTGATTTTGGACTTGTTCATCTCAAGGCCGATATCTAGTGAAGCCTCGTGAAGGTCTTGGAGCATAGCCTGGAGATCAGCGGAGTTCCCACCCATGAAGATCAGATGAAGATCGACTGCGAAACGTAAATGCGACATGCGGCGACCATTGATGTTAACACCTCTCTCATTAAAATTGAGTGTCTTCATTACGTCTCCAGGACAGGAAGAGTTTGGGAGAGATGGTGTCTCCTTGTCTGACACCACGTATGATCTAGATGAAGCTTGAGGGTTCATGCATGCGCACTTGCATAGTCGCGTTCCTGTGTTCGACACTGTCGAAAGCCTTCTCATAATCGACGAAGGCGAGACACAAGAGTCGGTCGTATTTGCGGCATCTCTCCATTAGTTGTTCAATAATAATACTATCAATATACCCCAGGTTTGCTTGTTTTCAAATATAGTGGAATACAATCCAATATCTTCACAATACGTAACGTTTTATTGTTAAAGCAACATTCATTCTTCTATGATCACTTCTAATACATCATGTGCGGGGGGCGACAAATGGCTCATGTCGTCCCAAACTGAGATTCCATAACGGCAACGACATGATCACGGGTTTTTAAATTAAGGATTACTACTTGTTTTAATCACCTGCATCTCGATATTCCGGCAATTTTGATGTATTAATAATAAGCTTCTTTTGTATGTAATATAAAAATAAATGTATGTAAATATAAAAAAGCTCTACACACAAAAAATTAAAAATTAAAATGAATTTTATTTACTCCAACGCGTATCACGATAAATTACCTTTTTACCTTGAAAAAAAAAAAATAATAAACGTACGAATTCTAGATCCGGAGAAAAATAGTTTCATTTCCAATATGCAGCAATCACAAAAACCTAAGACTTCGATTTAAACCACTTACGTCTTGTCCTTAGCGAGGGCTCCGGCCAATGTTAATCCCTGCAAGCAGTTGCCTATACACTCCAGACTTAGGCAGTACGGGTGGACATGACGTGACTCGACTCGTTCTTGCACCATCTTCAATGCCTTATTGTGGTCACAGGAGTGTATCTGGCAAATTAATGTTTATTATAATATTAATAAGTCTTATAACATCATTAAGTGCAGAAAAACTTTCATAGATTTCTGACAGATGGCGGTACGACAAAAACTAGTTGAAATACAGAAAAATTCGTAAGGTCTACTGGTTCGTTCCGTAGCTCAGTTGGGAGGGCATCAGACACGGTATAGTGAAGGCGCTGGTTAGAGTCCAGCCAGATCGAATAAATTATTCTTTAAAACAGCGGAGTGATTTTACAAAAAAATAATTGAATATCAATATATAGTAAAACTTCGTGATATTCAATAAATTTAATATTACAACCTTTCACAAGTTTGTCACAACATGGCGCTACGGCAAAAGAGCCATAAAGCCATAGAATTAGATAGAGAAATTCGTAAAATCTGCTGACTCGATTTGTAGCTTAGTTGGTAAGAGCGATAGTCTCGGTGAGGCAACAGACTAGTAGTAGTTCTAGCCAGTAAGATATATTTTTTTTCTGTGTTTGTTAGATCTTTGTATCAATGTAATAACAAACTATAGTACGAATCATAATGCGATGTCAAAAATGTAAACAAAGGTTAAAACCACGGTTTGTGGTCTGTGGTTATATATAACCGAGCAAAATAATGCATTTTCAATGGTATTTTCCAATTTTTGACGATAATAAATAAATGTTTATAGCTCTCTTTAAGCTGTAATCTGATAAAACTTAGAACAGGCGTGAAAAGTAGTTAAAAATCATAAACAAACATCAGCAATAAGCACATAGAAAAGTTCGTAAGGTCCGCTGGTTCGTTCTGTGGCTTAGTTGGCATAGTGTCTGGCACGGTTTACTAGAAGACATCGGTTCGAATCCGGCCGGATTGAAGGAATTTATTCTAAGTTTTCAATCTTTGTTCTTAATAATTAAAACTTAGAACAATTTACACTTTGCAATATACATTTTTATTTAATTTCGTTTAATACAATAATTATAACAAAAGGATTAATTAATCGTAAGATCGCAAATAATTTTACGACACTGCGCACTGGTAACACAATCGGGATCAAAAATATTTTTGTGCCGCCATTATGTCGTGTCATTGATGTCATTCATGCTTCCTTTCTCGAACTCGTATGTTTTCTTGTCTCCGTAGTGTGTTTATTAAATATGTGTGTTATTGTTAAACTTTTTGTTTATTGTTAATATTTTGAAATAGATAATTAAAATTGTAGAAAAAGACAACGTTCTTTTTTTACTAATTCTGTTAAAAATAGAAGATTTAGCACAGTATATTTAGCACATATAGCATTCACATTTTGACCATGACACATTTTTGTTTACATTTTGGACATCTAATTATCTAATTAAATTAACTAATTATGATTCATACTTTAGTGGAGTATTTTCACAAAAAATATATGGATATCATGGTAGTAAAATACATTAGTTTTCTGGGTGGGTTTACTTCAGAAATAGAATGACATTACTGTTCGTAAGATTGGAAAGTCATACTCAATGCACTATTGTTTATTGCATTAATATTTATAATTGATTTATTATATAATATCCAACAGCACACATTTTGATATGTATATATAGGGTGATTTTTTTTTAAACTGGGACAGTATGAGGAAATTCGAAACCATAGAAGATACAAGGAAACTGTCTTAGAAACCATTAAGTATTTTTTTATGAAAACAATTTTGACATAGTCAATTTTTTAGTTAAGCGTGAATTGTCCATAAAAACGAAAAATACCATGAACAGTCCCATTAAAAAAAACACTATATTAATGTAAATAACTTAGGTAATGTATACATTACCTCGATCATGACGTCCATGCATATCAAAATGGTGGTTAAGAAAGGTGAAATGGACCACTTCAACAAAAACTGCAGTTTGTGATCGGCCCCTATCACATACGTATCACCTTGTTTGGCTATCACTTTGCTGTGTATGCAGTATTCAAGTGCGTTACTAAATATCTGAAAAGGTATAGTGTTTTTATTGAAGAGTTTCTGTGAAAATATTGCGGGATCATTAAAAGCAACTATTAGCGTCATTTTATCATAACGATTTTTTTACTGTTACTCGATTATAAATTTAGACATGACTAATTGTCAATGTTGTAAATGTAATTCATGAATTTTATAGAACAAAAAATTGAAGAATTCTGTGGTCTGGGATCCCTGGAAAAAAAATTGCTGGAAAAGATACAGACTCAGTTCTGTAGGTATCTCTATAAGAGAGAGTACGGGTACTACCCTCTACAATCCAAATAAGTTTCAGGTATTGTAGGGTGTGAGACATTAAAGTTTAGGCGAAAACCAAATCTATTAATACATTACAGTAAGATTCTTAGAAGTGATATAGATAGCCCAGTAATATTTCAATCTATTCGTTTGTTTGTGCCTCAAAATTATACGCGATTAGGTGTTGCACGTTCACTTCTAATGTTTGCTTCCAAAAGTTCCTAGAGTTTCTTGCTCGTTCTTCTCAGGGAGGTCAGCGTAGAGAACGAGCAGTAGCTTAAATGTGACGATTTCAAGTGTAAATTTATTTTACCTATGGAATAAATAATCTTTGACTTTGACTTTGACTTTGCGTTTCCAGACGGTGTTCGCACGAACCTCGCCCGCAACTCCCCCACGCCTCGATCTCTTGCCTAGCTCAATACTCCTCCTAGACGAGGTACGTGACGCCGATGTGCTCACCGACAAGTAACATTTGACATTTTGACATATTTTTGAATAACTACTTGACATGATCATAGATGTACTTAACATTATTGGTTATTACTATTTTTTTTTATAAAATCTAGTGACGGGACGAACAAGCCGTGCACCTGATGGTAAGCTACACGCCTGTCCATGACAATTTAATTGACTAATTTATAGTTTTACTTTCTTTTTGTCTTATTGTTCACCTTGTAATTTTAAGTATTGACTTGTACTTGTGAGTGCTTTGGGTGCCACAGTATATTATAAAATAAATAAATAACCAAGAAATTGGAATTGCCATAGAATATCAAAATTGTACGGAAACGGCGCAACATTGCATTTATGTTGTACTTACAACATCCTCATTTCTATCGACGAAGAAAAATTCGTGTTTCAGCAGTTTTCTCACTCCGTTGAAGTCTGCAACTAATTCATCTGGAATAAAAATGTTTAGGCCTCTGTAAATGGTGTCAGCGATTACCGTATTGTTTTAGTGATTAACATTATAATGTGATACACTATAGATTAGATTCAAATCGAAATAGATCCGGTCGGGTAGTCTCGAAATCAGATGGGTTTCTGAGCGAGAAGATAAACCTGATTCCTACTATATCTTTCTAATTTGTGAGTTAAATCAACTATTGTTCCGATTAGAAATGGCAAAAGTGTCCTATCGGCCAGATGTGAATCGCAATTATGCACCTCGACTCGGAAAAGACGCAGTTTCCGAACGGGAGTGGCAATCAAAATCTAGCTGCAAGTCGACGAAAATTTTTCTGTGTGTTCGAACTTTGTATTCACAATCATAACAAAACTATACTCTAGCCAAATTCGATGTAGAATATTTAATAACAAAACGTTGCTAGGCAACCAATGATGACATAGGAAAAGAACATTTTTTTAATGCTCATTATTAAAGCTTCCTCTGCCCCCACGACCTGCTCTCGTAATTGGAATTTAAATAGGTAATTGGGTTACGTAGAAATAATACTTACTTAGCCAATTATTATAAATAATAATAATAATAATATGAATTTACTACATATTATATCATCCAGCATCTATTTCCGATTCTGAACTTGAATTACCACTAGAACTCGAATGTTTGCAATCTCTCCCTTCAAATCAAAAAGTCATTAGGGATGACACAGTTTTACAAATAATTAATTACTGGTCATTTTTGTGTCATTTTTAAGTAGTTTTAAACTTCTCTTGAATAATATTCATTACAAACATGGCTTCAAGATTTAGTATTATCCATAATCTAACTGAATTTCGTAGGAAAATATTGAAATTGTTGTAACTGTGAAAGAGTCTGGGATAAAAACCCTAAAAATCAAATGTTTTTGTTTGTTGACATTTATTCTACATCGAATTTGGCTAGAGTATAGTGAGCTATTTCACACAATAAATAAATTAAGCACATACATCTGAATTCAAATTATAACAGATGATAAACTTAAAAATAACATGGAAATTTGTATTCGGATGCAAACGGAAATCCGAAGATTGCCGAGAGATGCCAAGTAAATAGTTTTAGTCTACATACCTCTGTGAATTACTGATCTCTGTACAAGTAAAGAAACGACTGCAGGAGGAACAAGGTAATGGAGTACAGGGTTGACGTAAAGCTGCAGTTGTACTATTGGCACGGCGTTCACCATCGTCTCTGCTTTTAATATGTGACCTGTAACAAACGGCACTAGAAATATTTATACCACCTTTACACCATACCATATCATATTATAATTATACATTTGTGTGTGGAATTTAATTTTTTTCCAGACGGCATTTTAGTATTTTTCTTGTTGTCTTTTTTGGTACTGGCGGACACAGGTACTTCTTATGTAAATCAATAAAAACAAGAAATATTATAAAATCCAGTTTTATAAATTAACTCAGTTAAAGAGTAGTGAGCAATAATTTGATTACAAGATTTAAACATAGCTAATTCGCGTTAAAGTAGTGAGAACCTCATTTTGCCAATTATATGATTTTATTGTCGAATGATACGCAATATATAATTCATTCAAAACTGACTAATTGGAGCAGAGGTTTCCAAACAACATCGAACCGGCCGGGAATCGAACCCGGAACCTCAGACATGGCGACACCATGGCAACCGGTGTGCAAGCCACTCGACCACAGAGGTCGCAAAAAAATTCTATTAAAATAATCTATAATTTAAATATCCATAAAATAAAACTAAATATAATAATAATCACGCACACACTCAACATAGCCCCGCACTAGGGAAACCCCGTGTCGCGGGTGCCATGGATACACATAAATTAAACCCAGTTTAATAGCAGTAGAGCTCCTTGTGAAAGAGTTCGTCCAGGGAAGTACTGCCACTTTACCTATTTCTGCCGCCAAGCAGTAATGGGAGCATTCCGGTTTGAAGGATAAGGGTGCTGGAGAAATTACGGACACCTAGGACTTGTCAACTTATGTCTCAGTATGACGGTCGCAGTGGTAGTGCTCCTCAGATCTTTGCGATTTAAACTCAGAGTGGCACTGCAACTGCTCATTACAAACACTTCTTATATTACAGATGTGTTATTTTGATATTCGATTCAATTTTGCCAAAATTACAACTACGTCAATGTAGCACTAAATGAAAGAATTATCAAATATTTTACGACTCTTTATAAAATTAATTTACATTATAGAAAATATTGTCAATTAGCCATTTCTTTAAATGAGCCTCGAATTACTGTTTCAGCCTTTAATATCAATCGAAAATCTGTTATAAATTCTGATTACCGTTATATAAATGCCGTAGTCAAAGATCGCGCTTTTTATTACATGGAGAAAAAACGGTCTTTGTTCTTATCTGATGCTCTTTATCTTTATATTTATTAACGGAGTGTACATTGGATATTTTAATAAAAAGGTTACTTTGATTACGTACAAAGAGGCATATTTCCAAAACGTATATGTCAGTTTTCTTTTCTTTGTACTCTTTGAGATAAAAGTCACGGTTTACTACAGATTATTTATGCGCGTAAACACCCTTTTTAACCAACTTCAAAAAACTGATTTAACGAATTAATTCCACTGATTTTTTTGTATGTATGTTACGCGATATCTCCGACATTATTTTGAGTAACCTATCGCAAACTCGAAAACTTTTTGTCCGAAATAACGTTTGTTAGAATTTTCATTACACCGAAAAGCGAATTATAACGAAACAGTTGTTCTTTCAGGATATGTTGAATGTTTATCGCAAAGACACGATTAGGTTCGGTTTAAGTTAGGTTTATAAGAAAAAACAATTTCCTTTCAAAATTACTTTCGAGGTTATGAAATTTCGACCAAATGTTATTTCTGGAAAATGTCGTTTCGGACTACTGATAGGTAACCATTATTTTGTGAACCGATTTTGATGACTCTTTTTTTGTTGGTCCCATTTAATTTGAAGAAAATATTCCACCTCTAAGGCTGGCAAACTATGGGATGTATCCGATTTCGCGCGCTTTCCGGTAATTGATTTCAATAAAACTTGGCAAATAGAACCTCTATTTGCCAAGTTTTATTGAAATCATTCTCATTCATCACTAAATTTTGAGGTCGGTTTTTTTTTATAAAAAAGTTATTGTATTGTGATTTTTTTAAACGCATCGACTTTGTTTCCCCAGTTTTTGTTCTTAATTCCTAAAAGTAGAAACGCCGAAGGTAATTCAAAATTCAAAATGATATCGCTGTGCACTCGAACATTGACTGATATTTTGTTATCTCTCAGGTTCATTTCAATGCACATCGTCGTACAATATGGTCTATTTTTTTATCTTAATCGCGAATTGCAGTATTATCATGATAAAACAAAACTATAACGTATGATTATTAAGATCGGCTGGATTTGAACCAATGTTTTCTAGCAAACCGTGTCACACGCTATGTCAACTAAGCGTATTCAAGTTTTTAAGTTTTATAGATTTCTTATAGTGTATATTTAAGAGTGTCTTGTGTTTATTACAAAGTAAAGGAATATTTCAGAAAGGGGAATTTCTACAAAAGGGACATTGCGAACCTAAAGGCGTCGTAGGTAGTCGTTTTAAATATCGTCATTTTACGTTGACGGTAAGTCTGTTATAATTCGCTAATATAATATGCGCTTTTGTATGAAAAAGAATCCGGCAAAGTCGCGAAAGAGTGTACAATTTACGCAACATTTAAATTAACTTTCATCTTATATAGAAAGTGTGAAACAGTAAAAACTTCAAGAAAAATTTAGCGGTTTTATTATTTTTTCACCGAAAACATCACATCATCGTTTAATTCATCACTGGTTCATCATGAGACCTTTTATAGTGAGCCAAAATCTTATGTATTTTTTTTAAGATACAAAAATTATACATGTCACGCCATTTCGCCCGGGGATTTTACAGAAGAAAAAATGTATTTTAAAAAGCGGTTTCCATGTTTCGAAAGCCATTTATGTGAAAAAGTGAACTTTAGATTTAAAAGCATCCGAACGTACTCCAGTTATTGTTTTAATTTCACAAACTTGTTAACATTAAAACTATGCTATAACACAGGTCACATTCTGGCCAGAGCGCGAATCGATTTACTTAAAGAATTTCAACATCAACAAAGAAATCAAACAACATACCTTTCATTTTGGCTTTGACTTCATCAGACATATCCATCAAAGTTCCAGAAATCAATCTGAGCCTTTTATCTTTATCCAGAGCGATCATTTTACTATGTACTACTAAAATTCTGTCCACACTACTCTTAACATCATTTTCGAAAACCGATGCACCAAGATTCTTTAACAAATTTACCACCCAGTGAACTTCTTTTAAAACTTCGTCGTAAGATAACAATTCGTTCTTTATTAAGCTTTGCATAAGAACTATGGAAATTAAATTTGTTATTACAACAACTGTATTTTTCTGTTGTAAAGTTACGGCATAGTTTGCTATGTCCTGAACTTTTGAGAATTGCTCCGGAGTTAACTGTTGTAGGTCTAACGGTTTAAGAGTTTCTTCGGAGATATTGTAGTCGTTTTGGATGTAATCTTTGACGGATAATGGGGAGCCGAGGTTGATGTATATGTTGCCGAAATGATCGTTCAGACTTCGTAGCGCTTTTAGAAAACCCTGAAAGAAAAGTTGCATTAATAAAATAATATTAGCCATCATGAAATATATTTACATAAAACTGTACTCTCATTCTCCGTCCGAAACAAATACAGTCAAATCGCCCCACCCCTCATGGAAGAATGACGCAAGTGGAGTTACGTCAATAGTAGATTGTACAACAAGTGCATAAAATGCGTCATTTACCCGAGACGAATATATCCTCGTATAGGTCGAGGGTAAAATGAGTTTTATGAACATATATATATACACTCTGCTTTTCACTTCGATTGCGAGGCAATTAAACAGCAATATTACAAATAAACGATAACACAAGTATTGCCAAGAAAAAATAAGAACTTTCCGCCAATGTACTTCTTTTTTTTTCTACACGTGACTCAGGTCGGACAACGTAATGGTCAGTTATATTTTACAAGCTTTTATTTAAACTTATTAGATTTACTATTGCCTACCTTTTCAATTTTGTAATATAACACGGATTAAAAAAAAATTAAACTTTATTTCATAAAGTTCTAGCGTGTGTGGCTGTTGGCGCAGGCGTCATTGCCTCGGTCTTAAACGACGATTTTATTTTATGCACTAGAGCATAAAATCCTATTTCATGCAAGCTACACCCAGCATAAATACGAACTTTAAGAGCATGAGCAGTGAAAAAATGTTTATTGCTCCATTAGGTACAAAAAAATATAACCCACATCTTCTCCAATTCTTGTAACTCTATCTACAATATTAGTCGATAGATATACTACAATTGGAGAGGATATGGGTTATGTTTTTCTGTATCTAATGGAGCAATAAATGTTTATAACGTAACTCCACTTATGCCATTCTTCCATGAAGGGTGCGAAATAAGTAATACTCGACCAAACTAATGACAATGACAACAGCATCCATGGCCGAATGGTTACCATTCCATGACTGCCACGCAGAGGTCCCAGGTTCGATTCCTGGGCCGGGAAAAGTATTTGTATCGCCTACATTTATTTCTCTCGAGAGTTTGGGTGTAACTTGTGGTTGTCTATGTGAGTGTCCATGGCGCCCTCGACTCGGTTTCTCTAGTGCGAGGCTATGTTGAGTTGGTGCGTTAATATTATTATTATAATATCAAGTAAGAAGCTTCATTCGCGTCATGTGTCCTGTTATTTGGTTGAGAATTACTCATTTGGCAGTAACTGTTTCGGACGAATGTCGGATGGAGACTGAGAGCCGATGGGCAGAGATCGAAATAGGCAAGAAAAGTAAAGAAAATGAACGAAATAGTGTGGTTAACGCCCCCCGATCCCCCCACCCCCTTCCCCCTTCTGAATTCCCAGAATTACCCTCTAGCATCAACGCCCCGCAATTGCTTCCGAGGCCCCTACCGCCCTAGGACTCTTCAGCGCGCACTGGAGCGGTGGGGACCACTTTGGAAAACTATGTTCTAACGCATCAGCGCCAACCCAACTAGGAAGCGTTCAAAGGGGTCGCCATAACTGAACACGGTCGGATAGATAGAGACGTTTATTCCTAGTATCTATAAAAGACAGTACAGTTCCATTAACGATAATTTGTTTTAACTAAACTAGCAATTACCTAACTTGCCTAAAATTAAAATATATACCGAGGGTTGTGAACCTGCACGTCGAAGAAGGTTCACTATCCTCGGAAAACGTAGGACGTCCCCAACCCGCATTGGACCATAGTGGCGGACTATGGCCTGACAGGAGATAGTGCCCAGCAGTAGGACGTATAAAATGTGTTGATGTGATTCTTAATATCATTAGTAAAGAAATAATTGATACAAGAGACCGGTAACGTCTTTGCGGTAGCCACTTTGTTTGGAAAGTGCGCAAAACCGGGTTCATCCCCTAGTTTGCCAACCTTAGAGGTGGAATATTTTCTTCAAATTCAAATGGGACCAATACTGAGGTGCCTTCTTTCCAACAAAAAAAGAATCATCAAAATCAGTCCACAAGTTCCGGAGTAACCGCGTAAAATACACACAAAAAAATACAGTCGAATTAGGAACCTCCTCCTTTTTTGAAGTCGGTAAAAAAAGAAAAAACTTACGCCAGTAGACTCCTTAGGTTTAGGTACTCCAAGGTGCTCATATGCAAACAGAGCCTGCTCCATGAGCCGGTCGTACGTGATGTTCACGGGTACGATGGTAATGTCATTAACTTCTCGTGCGAAGAAGGGCATTAGCATCATTGATAGCATTCCTGAGGGTAAATTGTAAATAATTACTTAGGCCCGATATTAAAAAATCAATATCAATCACAGAATATAAGCGCACCAAAAACAAGCCCTTCAAACGCACACTGGAGAACATTCACTGTGTTACTGTCTTAACTCAAAAGTTGAGAGAGCATTTATGGAATCTGCCCATGGAAGGCATCGCCATACCTACACCAACAGACAGTCTTCTTCCGTGGACCAAATTGACACCTGCTGATGTCCCCTCATCGATTATGATCACTTGGGCTGGGCAGAGTCCCAAGAACTGCCTCTTTCAACGAGGGCCGTCTTCCCCATATAATTATTGGGTCACAAACCAGAGTACGCGCAAGAAGAGTTGCTCTTCAGGTCATGGAGGTAGGCAGCCTCATAGAAAACATTAAATCTTTACTTGAACTTCGTGGTTGGATACATGGCAGTCAAGGTCTTACGAAACTAATGACTCCTCTGGTGGAAGAGAAGACCAACCTTTCGGTAGAAGAACTGGAGAAATATACAGTACAGGTGTACTCAGGGATGTTGGCACATCGTCTCAGCCTAATTAGCTGGTATTAAGAGTGGATACTACCTCGGCTCGAATTTAAATTTTTCCCGTACTAATATGGTTTATTTTACTTGGGTCGAACGTCACAGACATTGGCTTTATTTCATAATTTATTTTTTTACAAACGAAATTAAAACCATTTGAAAAATGTATATCGTTACTATATGGGTTCTATTTAGTTCAGTTGATATAAAAAAAAAAAAACATTAGTGTATGTTATTAGTGTAAATTTCGAGGTAATTTTTTTTTTCAATCGTGAAAAAGCCATTTCAGGTTGTATAGAACTTAATAAAGGGAATTCCCTGTACTACTAGAACCCAGAAAATCCAGACCGAATTTAAAAAAGTTCGTATCCCAATTAGTCCTAACGGGTATCTAATCCTCAGTGCCCATATTGCAAAGCGCTGTGTCACCGACGTCGTCGGTTTTTGTTGGTCAAGGTTTATGGATGATGCCATCAATCTAGTACATTTATTTAACCAGTATCTGTGTCATGTCTATACAGAGTTATTTGTAAAATACTAACAACATCTTTTATTCCATGACTAAACTACATACATAACACTACATCATAAACTTACGAAAAATAAACTTTTAAATTTTTGATGTACTATGACACTTTTTAGATCTAAAAGTGGAAGTAAATTAATTTGCTACTCCGCGAACCCAGTGAAGGTTAAATCGTGCAAAATAGCTGCGCTCGTGTTGAATATTTTTTCATGCAGTTAATTATCCCACCCTCCCTTCGCATAAAATGAACAACAATTAATTTTCCAACAATCTTGAAAACAAATTGGGAACAAGTCAGTCTCCTTTCAATAATTTTGATTACTAAATAAATAATATAGGAGACACCTGCTCAGCAATGTGACCGATAAATGGGTAGATAATGATGACTAATAATATAAATAAATACACTACATAGTGATGATTAAACAATATTTTTACACATATCATAGTACGAGGGTAATTTTCAGATTAGTGCTTCTAATAAATATATATATTTTGCAATACTGCGTTTTTTTTATTTATGCGTTATAAGGGCAGCGATGTATCGATTGTATCGATACATCGCTGCTTTCATAATGCAAAATTGATGCTGCGCAAGGTCAACCTAGAATGCAAAGTGAAAAGGTCTTACCATATTTAGGTGATAAACTTTTATTACTACGGCTCCGTGTACCCTCTAAAAAGAACTCAATAGGCGCGCAGCTCTTGGCTACCAGCGTTCTGACATACTGCTTTAGGGTAGCTGCGTACAACGGAGCTCCGACTAGAGTACGCCGTATGTAGAAAGCACACGTCTCGCGCATGCGTCGGCCTAATATTACCATTGAGTAGAAATCTGGAAGAAAGAGTGCAATCTTAATATAAATGTGTGGGTGTAGTACCGATCATCGAGTATGTAACCAGAAACAGAGACGAAATAAGGGCCATCCGACCCTGGCAACTCATCAGGCAAATGGGCCTTATGTCACTTTCATTTCAGCAGGCTGATTTTAATTCTAATCGGAATCTATCTGATCGGATAGCCCATCCGAGTCTCGAAATCAGATGGGTTTCCGAGCGAGAAGATGAACCTGATTCCTGCTACATCTTTCTAATTTGTGAGTTAAATCAACTATTGTTCCGATTTGAAATGTCAAAGTTTCCGATCGGCCAGTTGTGAATCGCAATTATGCGCCTCGACTCGGAAGAGACGCAGTTTCCGATCGGGAGAGGCAATCAAAATCAAGCTACAGGCCTGAAATCACAAATTAGAAAGCTGAAATAGTACAGCGCCAATAACTGACCTATGTGTACGTCTCAGTATATTCCAAAAATTTTCTGTATTTATTGTAATAAAGATTATATCTCTAACAATGCCGTGCTGTTCTATTCGGTGGTATGGAAAAAACAACAAAACATCTAATTACAAAACACACGGAATCACATTTCAACGGTTATTAAATATGTAATATTTCAATTTTCGTCCATTATACCAAAGCTCAAGTTTAACTGATCGTATTGAAGTGAAACAATTGACGACACTCGTCAATTGTTTCGAATTCGGGCTAGCAAATCGGAGCGCAGTTGTCACCGTAATGATTTGGCAGAATAGTTTTCAAACAAATTAAATGACACTCCGTCTCTATTTCTGGTTATATACTGGATGGTACCGATTAACGAAAATCCTTCCATCGAAAGCCGTAATATTACGATTGAGCAGAAATCTGGAAGAAAGAGTGCAATCTTAAAATAAATGTGTGGGTATAGTACCGATTAACGAAAATCATTCCATCGAAAGCCATCTGGTCGATCACACCCACATAGCTTCTATGAAATACGATTTGATAAAAAATACTACGTACTACGTATGAAGAATTTCACACAATCAATATAAAGATTACAAGTTATATTGCTTTAATTCGACAATCCGATGTTTATCATTTAATCGATAATCTACGAAGTAACGTGACCGGTACAGTCATTTTCCATTTTGATTTTGCGTGGATACGGAATACGAACATGGTATGTGGTAAGGATGGGTACTCTGTAGGTATTGAAAAGTTTGTACTTGACAGTTGTTCCAGTTCGCACGACCATGGTATGCATTTTATAGTTGTAATCTATATTAACTGTCTCAGTGGCCGAACGGTTACCACGATGGACTGCCACGCAGAGGTCCCGCGTTCGATTCCCGGGCCGGGAGAAATATTTGTACGGCCTACATTTATTTATTTTGAGCGCTTGGGTATAATTTGTGGTTGTCTACTTATGTGCACGTCTATGGCACCCGCGATACAGGTTTTTTGTAGTGTGTGCGTTTAATTTGTTGATTGAAATATTAAGGTAGTTATGTAGACATAATTATGAAATTAATGTTTTCGAAACTTCATGGCTTCTCCAAATCTATAGTATTTACAAAATAGCATAAAATTGGGCAATTTCAAAACAGTATTTTAGTGTGAAAGTGATAAACCGCGACCCTATAGACGGTCATGGAATTATGGAATTCGAGATCAAAAATGTTAACAAAAGAGTTGCCATTACAATAAAATATATTAAGAATCCTGCAAATGTGGAAAGTTCTAAACATACAAAAATTTTGTAGTATGTTTAACTGTGTGCACGTTGTGTGTATGTACATACAAACATAATATTATCAAAAGGTATCTTTTAAACACCTTTTGATAATATGTTTAATAACAAAAATTGTGTAAAATTCGTTATCCTAATGACAACATTTCGAGAATACACAAATTTTGGCTGCTCTTTTTCTTCATATGTTTTTTGATGCCTCGGTGGCTGGTAGGTATAAGATGACTGTTGGAAGTTTGTGAGACATATGCTGTACAGTTTAAAGTATAATAAAAAAAGAGTGAGTAATGGTATTTAGTTATAAAAAATACGGCACCATCGAATTAGCCTCCTATTTGGTTAAAAGGTATAACTTTAAACCTTCTTGACCATTTCAAATAATTAGGTCACTTCGTGACAGACGATTTATCTATATATCGATATATCTAACTAAACGTTACAAAATGTGTGGTTCGATAAAGCGACCATAAAATTGCAATTTGAACGGATATTATAGTCATTCAGTTGAAAGTACTAATAGTCTATGGACTGATTATTGTCTGATAATAAATAATTTTTATTTTATTATTTACCTGCCTTGGTATGCATTTTATAGTTGTAATGTATATTAACTGCATCCGTGGCCGAATGGTTACCACGCTGGTCTGCCACTCAGAGGTTCCGGGTTCGATTCCCGGGTCGGGAGAAATATTTATATGGCCTACATATATTTGTCTCGTGAGTTTGGGTGTAATTTGTGGTTGTCAATGTGTGTGTCCATAGCACCCGCTATACTGGTTTTCCCTAGTGCGGGGCAATGAGTGCGTGCGTTTGATTTCATAATTCAAATATTAAGGTAGTTATGTAGACATAATTATGGAATTAATTTTGTTCGAACGCTCATGACTTCTCCAAATTTATAGAAATTGTTCTGTAGCATTCAGAAAATAACATAAAATTGGGCAATTTCAAAACAGTATAATTTAGCGTAAAAGTGACAAACCGCGACCCTATACACGGCCCTGGAATTATGGAATTCGAGATTAAAAATATAAACAAAGTGTTTTAAGTTGTATTACAATAAAATATATTAAGAATCCTGCAAATGTGGAAAGTTCTAAACATACAAGATGTTTAACTACATTTCGAGAATAAACAACTTTTGGCTGCCCTTTTTCTTTATACGTTTTTTGATGCCGTACTACACGCACTTTTAATATCAAGAGTATAACCTTTATTAAAACTCGAACAAAATGTTTATAATTTATGAGATATCACTTGATCAGTGACAGTGGTTTGTTTACATTTTTGTTCTTGAATTTCATACCGAGTATAGGTCTTTAGTTCGTAGGTAACCGGTAGCACTAGTGGAGTTTTTGGCATATAAATGACTGGGTTATTTAAAAGGGTTATTTAAAAAGATAATGAGCACATTTCATGCAAAGGTAGGTTCCTATTTCAAACATTAACTAATGAAATTCAATGACATTCAGTAGACTTCAAACGTGACGATCTACGAACTAAAGACCTATACTCGGTAATGAAGATTACCTACCAGTAGTCCGAAATAATATTTTCCAGAAATAACGTTTGGTCGAAATTTCATAACCTCGAAAGTAATTTTCAGACGGAAATGTTTTTTTTAAACCTAATTTAACCTAATCTAACGGAACCTAATCGTGTCTTTGCGATAAACATTCAAGATATCCTGAAAGAACAACTGTTTCGATATATTTCAGTGCAATGAAAATTCGAAGAAACGTTATTTGGGACAAAAAAATTTCGAGTTTGTGATAGGTTACCAGTGCTACCATTTAAGGGTTCAAAATTGCATTTGTCAGTTTTCATGATAATATTAATCTATTCATAATAGTACCTCCCTAATTCTGCCCTCGTTGTCATAACTAAAGCATTTGCATTTTGGCAACTTTCGAGATATTGGTACCTAGTTTTTTTTTCTTTGAAAAATGACATTTGCGCCGATTTTGCTTGACAGTAAATCTGAAACTAAATTAGATATAAAAAACCGCTTATAGGGGGTTGTCGATGTTATTTCGCTGATCATAAATATGTTAATAACTCAATTTCGCTAAAAAGTAGATAACGTTACTTATGATAAGGAAGGCAGAATTTATACCCTTTAGAAGATTAATAATAAAGGTTTAAGCACTCACCCATGCCAGCGGCAACGGCAGGGAAGTCGATGTCATAATGGTAACAAAGATATGTCATCAGACAAAAATCCGCGTAGCTGCGATGTGTGGGAAGAAACATCACTGGGTTACGGCCCATTGTCGACTTTATCTGTAGATATCAAAATTACTTTATTTAACATGCAGCATTAAAAATAAGTAATAGAAATTAATAATAAACTCATGGGCCTGTGACTGAGCTAGACAGGACTACTTAGTAAATATCCCTCGATATATTCTGCCATAGCCTGCACTTTTGATTAACTAGATTTTTTTTTTAAATATTATATTATATTATATAATTTTTAACTTTTGATTAGTCTTAACTTTTGTTTTGTTCATAACAACTACACTAAACTGACAAACACAAAAGAGGCCTGAGGAAAATTGTGTCATAAAAATATAAGTCCCTAAAACAATTCCCGTGTACTTGTCCCCAAAACTGGCTTTTGTAAATCATCTCATCTCAGTACAGAGTACTAAAAAACCAATCTCAAAAGTCATTCACCACTAGTTTACCACCATTAGAGGTGGAATATTTTCTTCAAATTTAAATGGGTCCACTACTGAGGTACTTCTTTCCAACAAAAAAAGAATCATCAAAATCGGTTCACAAATGCCGTTATCGAGTTATCGCATAACATGCATACAAAAAAAAGTAAAAAACATACAGTTATGTTAGGTAGTTATACGAATTAAGAGTTTCCTATTTTTTTGAAATCAGTTACAAATATAATTCCCTAAAACGATTCCCGTCTGCCTGTCTCTAGAATTGCCTCTTGTGAACAACTGAGAAAGATGAACCGATGCGAAGACAACGGTTTAATAAAGGCGGAGAAGAGGTGTAGAGGAAACCCACCATCCGTAATCTGCGTATCCTAGCACCGAACCATCTGTAACTGCCTCGGTGGCTGAACAGTTACCATGCCGGACAGCCACGCAGAGGTCCCAGGTTCGATTCCCGGGCCAGGAGAAATATTCCCTAATGCGGAGCTATGTTAGTGTGGGCGTTATTATTATTATCTGTTGCGTCCATAGATATAGAAAAAAAGGGGAGATTTGGTATGGGGGCGTGGTTCGTGTCGCCTCGATGTGATCAAAATGATCATATCGAGGTGACACGCCTACAAACATCGCCACAGTGACATGGCGATCGTTGTACATACAAGATCTCTCGTAAACCGTGAAAATGCCAAGTTGTAGCGATACATCTTGTAAAAATTTGAGTGAAAACAAAAATTTTAAAACCAGTGAGATAACATTCCGGCTATTTTCATTTTTAGTTACTATTTCTATTAATATTCAATGTTTTCTTTTTGTCTCCATACAAATATCTAGACTCAAATATAGTGATGTTCATTTACAATGACTGATGTTTATGGACAATAAATTTTTACTGAAATGTTTGAATTTCTTACTATGATTTTTGTAATTAAAGTCCCTAAAATATCGTAGCGAAAAGCATTCACGTTAAATTGATTTCTTTTATTTTATTACTAAACATTTTATTTCGAGTAACTTTAACACAACTCATATTTCGGACAACCGTTTCAATTTCATGTCAATATGTATGTCGCTATTGATTGAAGAAAAATATATGTGTATTATTGTTTCAGGTAATTTACATATTTAAATTCCATTATACTCGTAGATTAAACGTAGAATATGTTTAATTTTTAAGTTTTTCCAATGAGTTCAAAATAAGAGAAGGTTTAAAGTTACAGGATACTCGAAATGTTGGTTTTCTTATTACTATTTCTTATTATATATTATTTTTAATATTTATTATTACGAAAAATGAGTTTCAGCGCCATCTAACGTGTAATAGTTAGAGCTATTATATACTAGTAGCATTTTTACTAAAACGTCACCTGATGGTGACTGGCTGAACCAGGATGAAAAAAATAATTAAATATTGTAATATAACTTTTACTCGAGTGACTGTAAGTTTAATTTTGTTAAATTTTAAAATCGTGTTATGTCGATCACAATCTTTAAGTTACGGTAGTAGATAATAGAGCGTAAAGTTTGAATTGCACACAAGCTAAAAGGTGGCGACATCGGTATCCGATCCTACATAGCGTCATTACATATCTCCCCTTTTTTTCGTCGTCGTCGTTATAGCCAGACGCAACCATAGATCTATGGTTGCGTCCGGCTATACCGACGACCCTACTGTACCAGTCTTTTTTATAATGAAGTAAGTGACAGAAGATACGACGAGTAAGTCGTGCGCCGGGTGTTAAGAAACACACCTGTCCACAACAGTTGCAGTGCCACTAAGAGCCCTCAACCGTAAAGATCTCAGGGCACAGCCACTGCGCCCATCAACCTGTGACATAAGTTGACAAGTTCCACATGCCTGCAATTTCACTAGCACCCTTACCATTCAAAACCGGAACGCAGTAATGCTTACTTTACTGCTTGGCGGCAGAAATAGGTAAGGTGGCCGTACTTCCCTGGACGAACTCTTTCACAAGGAGCTCTACTGCTACTAACACTTTATAACTCCAAGAACAAACAAATTTCAATTTTATCTCTTACAATTAAGAGTACATGTAGCTAGACACTTTGAATCGTTTCATAGTCAACGATGTGTATGATTAAAAATTTGATGTGTGGGATTAGAAAGGTTGTATACTGAAATTTTTTCCTGAACTGAAATCCCAATCTCGAAAACAAATTAGGATCAAGACCTTTGAATACTTTTGATTAGTAAATAAATAATATAAGAGACCCCTGCCCAGCAGTGTGACCGATATGTAGATTTTTACACATATCGTCACATCAAACTACGAGAGTAATTTTCAGGTTACTTTTCACTACCCAATATTTGTACGTAGTTAAACAAAAAGAAGCCACGGTATGACTTCTTTTTATTTTCCCGATATTTCGGAACGGTTGCACGCTCCATGGTCACGGGTTGACTCAAACTTGATACTAGTGATAATCATTTAGTGAATAACCACGAGTCTTAAAATCTATATAAAAAGAAGCCAATACACATCCAGTCACTTTCGAGGTACGGCAGTTTAAAAGTGTTTCTCACTCTTGTTTTATTTTCAAAACTTATAATGTCATGTAACTCCAGAGATATTAATTCATGTTTAGATGTTGGATTTTTTGCTAATCTAAGAGGTTAGACTTTAGAAAACTTTTGGTACATATAACTCATTTTTTGATAATTTTGTGGATTGAATCCTTTTTGCTTAACTACGTCCAATTTCGGTGGCAATTCTTTATTACTGCAACTGCTATGGACAGGCGTGTCGCTTAACACCAGGCGCAAAACTTATTCGTTCTGTCACTTGGTATCATTAAAAAAATTGTGTAGTATTTAGCGGTATTTTAGCGCGATTTCTTCACAATTTGTCATAATGTGTAAAGTCTATTCTAAATGGTTTATGTAGTCAACAGCACATCCAATTATACACACTTGTTTGAATATTGCCTCCAGTGCAACGTAATTGCAACGGAACAAGATCCGTCAATGTGTAGTCGGTGTGCTGCCGCTTTAAAACTGACAGTAACAACATTGTTGATGTAATGACATCATCATAGCTTTGCATAGTATAAAGGAATTACAGACTGGAACTACAATATATTCTTGTCACAAAACGCAAATCTTATTGTAATATTGACATTTAACTGCAACGTTCGTGTTGTAATAAGAATAAATTAATTATTTATAAATCCGCAACACAAAATTTAAGTTGTTAACTTATAATATGCTTTGATTGTAACTTACAATAGTTCATGTATGGTCAAGCTACACTATGAGTAAAGATGGGTAAGCCACGTACACAAATGTATACGCATGAATATGTAAATATGTACCTACATAACATCTGCAACTGTACTTGTAGTGGACCTTGAATGCATAGAATGGTCTTAACTGCGCTATATGAATGAGATATTTTTTTGATCAGGAAATATTGCCTTTATAATGTGGCGGGCCGCATATGAGTATCAGGATACAGAGGGGTCGATGTCAAACGGTACGATATCATCAGGGACTGCAATCAGCATTTTTTATGACAAAAAATTGCGCATTTGCTTTCCAACTCACTTGGTGGAAAGTGACGATGAGGTCGATGATGAAGCATGCACACGTAAATAATGCCTATTCATTCTAGCCTAGAAAAGATCCAAGTTATAGCGTTCACGGAATATTTGTAGGCAAGGTATTCCACTCCATACCCGTTCGCCTCATAAATGTGGAATCTTTGGAATACCCATAATATAGGGGTGGAAGCCCAGCCTAAGTCTAGTCCCCCCAATGATGGAAAGGTGAAGATGAAATTAAATCATGCAATTCTATCGAAAATACTTTCCATGATACATTCTGTAGAATATCGATAAGCAGACAACTTTACGGGGGTGTTCAAGACTTTGCAGCTTCGCCTCAACTAAATCCTCTAGTCCTCTATAAACTTCTCGGCACGCTTTTCAGCTCAATCGAAGGTGGCCAGATGGTTTTAACAGAGTCATCCCATAGGTTGCAGCAGTACTTCATACGCGACAGGACTTGTGCTTGGTACAGTTGAAGCAGCTGTACAGTGTGAGTGGCGATGATTCCACGCTGCAGGAAGTGCAGGTGTGGAAGTTCCATGCGCGTCAGTCCCTGCTTAGAAAGTGGAGGGAGCGACTGGCCCAACCTAGAGCCGGGCGCAGGACTGTGGAGGCTATGCGTACGGTTTTTGAACACTGGATGGACAGGGCGCATGGGTCCGTGACTTTCCGGCTAGTGCAGGTGCTTTCCGGGCTTTGGATGCTTCGGGAAGTACCTACTTCATATATAGCCAGGGGGGAACCGACAACCGAATGTCACCATTTGGCTGCTACGAAGACACGGCACAGCACACGCTCCAGGTGTGGCCAGCCTGGACCAATGAGCACCGTGAACTGTTTGCCGCAGTACGTTACGATCTGTCACCTGCATTAATCAAATGCTGGAAAGTGACAGGTCGTGAACAGAGGTAGTATCCTTCTGCGAACGCGTAATGAACGCAGAAGGAAGCCGCGGAGCGGGAGAGGGACCACCACCCTCCTTCCAATCCGCCGCAGGAGAGCCATGACAGAGAGAGAGGCATGACAGAGCCTCCTCAGACGCCCGTCTGAGGAGGCTGTCATGCCCCCCTTCAACTCCCATAACAGGGGTTATGGTGGTGGACGCGGGGGCATCCGCCTCCCGTAATGTATAGGCACCGAGGTGGTGCGCGCGGTGTTCCTGCGTGCCCCTGTAAGTGATGAATAGGGTGGTGTTTCTCCAGCTCCACCCCAACTGGAAGGGCCCTTTGGCCGAGGGCCAGCGCCGTCGGGACCACGGAAGAGTGCGAAAGCGTTCCCGTAGTCCCGGCAAAGGGTGCAGGGACGGAACACCGTGGGGTTTTAGTCACCGTCACAGTCAGATAGTAGCAGTAGAACTTCTTTTTGAAAGATTTCGTCCAGGGAAGTACTGCTACCTTAGGGCCATTCCACAGTAACGGGTGGGACATTTTGACTCCTTTTTTCTCGAACTTTAAGTAATTTCTCCCTGACCATTAGTTAACTAGCCTTAAAGTGAAAATATCATGAAGCCAGACATACAACTCAACCTCAATAGTTTATTGTCGTAAGTTTATGACATTACTTATATGACGTGACTATTGACGAAGCCTTGTGCTGATCTTTAGGTTATACATTTTATTATTGTTCATAAATGCATTTTGTAAATTTTGGAATAAATGAATTTGAGTCTCCAAAAAAAAAAAAACTTATATGAGTATAAGTAATGTCATAAACTTTTAATTTTCTAAGTGTGACGTGTCTCACGACAACCTACTGTTTGAGTTGATGGCTTCATGACCAAGACAAACTATTAATATTTTGTTCGGCAATATGTTATAACTTGAAAGTTAAGGTTATATTTTATATATACAGAATGTAAATTTGAGACGGGGCAGCAAGGCCAGCCACCTTGATCGTTTTAGTTACAGGAAAACGGTTCTAGAAGACTATCCATGAATTTTGAAGATATTTTGATTGGCATTCACAGATTTTGGAAAAATGGTACAGTCAGCAAGGTAAAGGCAATTTTTACAAAACTTTTTTTTAAGCCTTCGACTCGTCTCTCTCGACTTCAACTTCCTTCTCAGGGCGACAGGCGCAGTGGCAGGCACTGAGATCCTTAGACACCTCAGATCTTTGTGATTTAAACTTCTGAGTGGCACTGCAACTGTTATGGACATGCGTGTCGCTTACCATCAGGCGCATTTAGTCTTCAACGTTACTTAGTATCATAAAAAAAAAGACAACTACACCAGCTACTGGTCTAAAACTAGGGAATAAATTACACATTTTACTAAACCAACTGTTCTAGTTTAAAATTACCTTCATAACTGCAGGTTCATTGACAAAGACTCCAATTTTCATCATAAAGCAGACCTTGAGGAATAAGATGCCCATCCACCTTATAGTGTGCAACTTTTTATCCAAGCCCATCTCTTCCAGATAATCTAGGACTTCCTTCTTGAGTTTTTCTTTACGTACTCCAGTTCTTGCACTTTCCTGATATTTTTTAGTGTTTTTAAATTTTGGAGTGCAACTAATAAACAACCACTCTGTTACATGGTCTTAAACTACAGAATATATAGGGAAACTTCTTTCTACACCAGGGCCCTAAGTCTGCAAATTTTTTTGAAGCCACTATTGTAATACCATTGACATTCCACTTCGATCATATTGCAATTATGATCATAGTTGTTATTCTGCTAAAACTAGTTGCAATGGCAGTTGAGTTGCGGTGGAGTGGCAGTGATGGCATTCATTCATTCAATGCTAGTAGCAGTTTTAGCAGCAGTAGAGCTCCTTGTGAAAGAGTTCGTCCAGGGAAGTACTGCTACCTTACGTATTTCTGCCGCCAAACATTACTGTCAGCATTACTGTGTTCCGGTTTTGAAGGGTAAGGGTGCTGGTGAAATTACAGGCACGTGGGACTTGTCAACTTATGTCTCAGGGTGACAGGCGCAATGGCAGTGCCCCTCAGATCTTTGCGATTTAAAGCTCTGAATGGCACTGTAACTGTTATGGATAGGCATATAGCTTACCATCAGGCACACGACTTGTTCGTCCTGTCATTGGATATTATATAAAAAAGAAAATATTATATAAAAAACTAACGACAGAAGTTGCCTTAGTATTAATTTTCATTTAATCTCCTAAGGCCCCAGATACATAATATGCGAAGTGACTCAGACCCAGAGAATATTATTCCTATGATCACATAAATGCCCAGTGTATATTATAATGAAAAAACTGCATTCAAATTTATTGGTATGTATTCCATAAGACCATAAATCCGTAAGACCTAAGTATAAGGGCCAAACTAACAATTTCATAATTTTCACTTTTTTGTGGGAAATGCTTTCATTTTATAATGAAATGAAGCATTTTCCACAAAAAAGTGAAAATTATCAGTTGTTAGTTAACTAACAATTTCATCATTTTCACTTTTTTGTGGGATATTCTTCATTTTACAATGAAATGGAACATTTCCCACAAAAAAGTAAAAGTGGTGAAATTGTTAGTTTGGCCCATAAACTTATAATCCTTCGAAATAACCCTATGGTATGTAGAAAAAAATTGTTTTCATACAAAACTAAGGGCATCCTTGCTTGGGCCTGAAGCATGTAATTAGATTTAATACATTTTAAGACACATTGGGCGTTTAGCACTTATCCCATTGCAGTTTGCTGGGCATTAGGAGGATAATTTAGGCTGGTTTAAGAGAAGTGCACATTTATCAGCCAACCATCCTTGCAGAGCATATGAGCATCGTTTTACAGTGATGTGGATTGCTCCGTATGGAACACTCTCATATACAAGCCATCTGTGCGTTTATTGTAGGCAACTGTCTTCCGTGAATATCTGCACTAAATTAAATACTCGATTCAGAACTCGAGTCAGGAGGATAGTCCGTACCCACAGCAGTGAAGCAATTTGGTCTTCAAATGATATATATATATAGAACATTAGTAGATTACATCATTAACTCGCCATATTTAGAAGCTCGATGGGTAGTCATTAACAAGTCACTACTCTTAATTTTTAGCAGAATACCAAATATACAAAATCCTGTCATTTACACTCATGGTACTGAGAAAATTTAAAATTAGCAGACTAGGAGCCCTCTGTAAAGGGTTGATAAAAACAACAGTTCTTTAGATAATATTTGGTCTTAATTATTATTTGCATATTCTTACCGCTTCAATGACGGAATCTAAATAAACAGAAGTGGCGACAAGGTCTTTTAAATCTTGCGGTGAATAATATTTTTCCAATATAAACGACTTTTGTGGATGCCATGCTTTCGTCATGAAGGAAAATATACCACATTGAGTGTTCCTCGGCTCCAAAATATCATGGAAATGCACAACTTCACTCATTTTTGTCTACTTTCTTGCAAATTGTCCTTAAAAGCAACACTTACTACAGCGTATAGGTTATGTAAAATATCGTGATTGTTACATAAATACTATAGTTTTGATCACCAAATAATGATTTATGAGTTTATTTCATCACCTTCCTAATCAAAGGTTTTAAATTAATTTTATTACTTGATTCATTAATAAGAAAATTAGTAAAACAACCTCTCCTTGTCGAATCTGAAATCGACTAAAAAAATTTTTTTTGACATTGACGCGCGTGATTGACAGCTAGTGAGGCTACCTGTAAAAATCAATGAGGCTCTTTTTTAATAAAATTGACTGACACTGTAAAAATTCACTGAACACGAAAAATCTGTATAGGTCTTTTTATTTTTTTCCATCCTCTAAGGTATAGGTTCATGCACATGATTTTGTTTTGTAAATTTAAAAGTGAAATTAATAAATACGTTAAATAAATAAATGAATTAATGAACTTAAAACGTGCATCGCATTTGCATTGCGTTTGTATTGCTGCTTGAAGTCGCGGGCGTGTGTAAAGGTAGACGATTAGCGACTGCATCACAGACAATGTCTGTAGATTGCATCGAAACTGCATCGCTGCTAAAAGCCATCGTGTGTAACCGCTCTAAAATAAACTGTAAATATTGCGAAGAATTTGTAACTCCTCAATGACTTATAGTAATTAAAAGATTGAAGTCTTTGCTTTTGACACATTTCAACAGTGTATATAAATGTTTATCAGTCATGCATGTATCCTTAGAATAATAACGCATAAAATGATAGTTTCATATCAAACGAACTGTCACAAGTGAGGCAAAATTCAAATTCATGTAGGCTAGTTTTAGTAGTAGGTTAATTTTCGATTTTAGTGAATATTTATATAAAAATACAAGTTGAAACGCGTTACTTCCTTGTGGAATGTGATGTTAGTACCTATTTTGTTTGTCTGACGTATTTTTACACTCATGTACCGCACATTTCGTAATTTTTAGCTAAAATTTTGGAGCTGTTCGCGGTGCAAGTTGACCTTGAGCACTGAAGGCCCGCCCGCTCATGTAGGCCCTTTGGGAGCGCTTCAATTTGCCTCACTTAGCGTGTGCGGGCTAGGTTTCTATGTGTTATTATTCTAAGCATGTATCCTACAAATATTTAAAAAGAAAACCCTATTGTTTGGTTTTATTACGTAGGGTAGGGTCACCTGCCCAACAATGTAACACTCGTATACAATGAAACATTCGTATACAATGAAACAACACGATAATTTGAAAATGCGACGTTACCAAATAGTGCAGATAGCGTGAAAGGATGCACTCGCGGAATCCCCTCTAGTTCAGTTCAGCGAGTCCGTCACAAAGAATCAGACGTTTTTTCAATCACTTTTGATTTATCATCAAATTCAAATTCAAAATAATCTTTATTTCATAGGTAAGCATTATTACACTTGAAATCGTCACAATAGTTAAACTCTACCGCTCATTCGTAAGGCAGATTCCCCTGAGAAGAATGAGCAAGAAACTCTAGGGGTTGCTCTTTGTAAATAACATTTACAATATTTTTTTTTTATTTGAAACATCAGAGATCGAGACTACCTCCATGAGCTAAACGGCTTACTACCACGGATTTTTGTCATCCAAGTACGCAGAAGTTGTATAATAACCTTTAGTATAAAGTTTTTGTTTCACTATAGTTTTAAACCTCGTGAAAGGCAAATTTTGTATATCAACCGGAATCTTGTTATAGAAGCGTATACATTGCCCCTTAAATGATTTTTTGACTTTGTGAAGACGACTATCAAGAAAAGCTAGTTTATTTCTATTCCTCGTATTAATGTTATGTCTGTCACTATTTTTCATAAATAAATTGCTATTCCTTTTAACATAAATTACATTTTCATAAATGTGCTGTGAGGCTAGGGTAAGAATGTTAATTTCCTTAAACTTATCTCTCAAAGATACTTTGGGGCCCAGATTGTAAATTGCCCTAACTGCACGTTTCTGCAGGACAAAGATTCTATTGATATCGGCGGCATTACCCCAAAGCAAAATGCCGTATGTCATTAGACTGTGAAAGTAGCTGAAGTAAAGTAGCTGAAGTAAAAATAAGTAAGTAAGTATTTTTTGCAATTTTCGTTGTTTTCTTACTTAATTATACTTGAAAATCCCGTATTGCTAAATATTGCTTAGTATTGTACATGTTTCACCGATTTACGGGGGCTAGTTCATAAATTAATAAACATTTAAAAAAACATTTAAACTTAGTTGTATTTTTTTTTAGTTTATAGTAACGTAACCTAGGTAGTCTTCAATGAAATAGTGGCATGGACACAATGTTTCATTGTGTACTTTTAATATCTCTTGTGATTAAGAGTAACCAATCTGTTCGAAAAGATTACGTAGATTAAAGAATTTTTATATTTTAAAAATAGGTTTTATTATTTATTTATTCCCTTAATTACAAAAATAACGAAATAATTACCCTGTTTCACTGTTGAATATTCAGTGTACATACCTGTTGACACAATGAAACATTTCCCATAAAAAAACCTTATTACAAACCTTATTAAAGATTATCTATAAACTGTATAAGAAATCTGTATAAGACATTCGATACTCAATTAAATTGGCTATCTGTGTAAAAAAAAATTACCCTTGACTTTAAAAATAACAGAACTATGAATGTTTGGAATTTTGGTGTTTCATTGTTGGACATGTGACCCTACATAATAAATAATAGTACATTGCTCACAGTCATGTTTCCCTATAAACAATATGGGACTATAACCATTGGGGGTTTACCTAAATAAAGGCGGCTTCCCACTGCCTGTGATATCACGGGCTACGTCGCGCCCAGCTTTTTGTTTGGGCGAGCTCATGCCACACGCTCATACAATACAAGTGAGTCTGTCTCGCGGCGCCCGGTCCGCCCGCTACCCGTGATTTCACGGACCGCCGATTCTTGAGTTGCTAACATCAGGGCCTAGTAGAGCTATAGTCGTGTGAACAGCTGCTCGTACTGAGACCAACATCGGTCATTATTAGCGTTTAAATCTGCGCTATTAGATGGTCAACTGGAAACTGTACTCGTTTAAAACTAAATGGTTTAATAAAATAGTTTTGAATGAGAGAAATCCGGGGTTTAAAAGCACTATCACCTACGCCACACACACACACACGCATACGCACACGCACACGCACACGCACACACACACACACTCACACACACACTCACACCCACGCACACCCACACACGCGCACACACACACACACACACACACACACACACACACACACACACACAC